CTCCTCCTCCTCCTCATCCTCATCCTCCTCCTCTTCTTCTTATTCTTCTTATTCGTCTGCTTCTTCTTCTTCTGCTTCTTCTTCTTATTATTCTTCTTCTTCTCTTCTTCTCTTCTTCTCTCCTCCTCCTCCTCCTCCTCCTCCTCCTCCTCCTGCTCCTGCTCCTGCTCCTGCTCCTGCTCCTGCTCCTGCTCCTGCTCCTGCTCCTGCTCCTGCTCTGCTCCTCCTGCTCCTGCTCCTGCTCCTGCTCCTGCTCCTGCTCCTCTCCTTCCTGCTCCTCCTCCTCCTCCTCCTCCTCCTCCTCCTCCTCCTCCTCCTCCTCCTCCTCCTCCTCCTCCTCCTCCCACTCCTTCTCCTCCCCATCCTCCACCTCGTTTTTCCTCGCCCTCGCTTCCTCGTCCTCCTCCTGCTCCTCCTGTTCCTCCCCCTGCGGCACTCATGCGGCCGTGCCCCCATCCCCACCAACCAAGGGTGACGGTGCGACCCGTGCCGCACTGGTAATCATGTTGTCATGCCCGCTCCCCGCCAACCTACCCGGAATATCTACTTCAAAGACCCATCGGGCTATGACAAAACAAAAAGAATATGGGAATTCATGAATTTGGTACCTCCTTTCCCCGTGGTGTTTGTTCTCCCTCTTTACCCGCTCCGGACCCTTCCCCTGCCCCCTTCGGTTCCCCCTCTGCTTCCTGGGGCCCCACCCCGCCCCACCCCGCAGTGCGATTAGGTTCTGGTGGCCTTTCTCAAGATCCCGCGTCAGGACCCTCCATGACCGTGGCCGCGCGGTCCGTCCCGCTCGCCTGCCACCACCACCTCCTCCTCTTCCTCGTTTCCCGAAGCGGGAACGCAAGCCACGGGAACCCCCACGGGTTGGCCTCCGGGGGCCTCGGACAGTTCACAGAAAACCAGCCAGGTCAACGCCACCACATCCAGCCAATGACCTCCGAAGGGTTGCGGGGGCCTCCTCCTAACCGCCGAAGTCCAGCGTGGTGACGCCAGCACATGTCGTCCGCCGTTTCGTCGCACCGGCCCCTCCTCCCAATGGTGCGTGCGTTGATCATTGCGGTTCTGCCCCGATGCTGGTGCGCTCAGCTTGTGTTAGGTTCGGCCGTGTTTGCACCGCCCCCTCCCCCAGCATCTATCCCACAGCATGGGATAAGGATCGCGCGGAGGAGAATCAGTCTCGGAACCGAATCTGTGCATGCTGGCTTGGGGCCCCCATTTGCAATAATCCCGCCTCAGGAGTGGGAGGCATTGCGGACGGCCTCGTCACTCTGGAATCGGAGGCATCGCGGACGGCGTCGTCACCCGAGATGACCCCTCTCCCCCACGCCCCTCCCCTCGGCGAGAGCCATCAATAGGCCTCCTCGGTGAAGGCCCTCATTAAGCTTCACACCCGTCGCAGCTTCCATCAATGGGGCTGCGGGGATTCCTGCTCCCACCGGTCAACCTTCCATTTCACCGTCAATAGGCACCCGAGGGGCCCGAAGACCCCCTACGGTCCTTCGGCCAACGAGGACGGCCGTAGGGGGGGGGGGGGTGACCCGTAATGAATGGAAACGGTTTAAACAAACTTTCTGGGGCGGACGATTAACAAAACATTTCGCGGGCCTCCTCGCCCCCGCAATAGCGGGGGGGCAGGGCAGGCAGACGGGGGGCTGACAATTCCGGGTCGCCCGGAAGGCCAGGGAGGGGCGGGCACTGGGTGGCGATCCAGGGCGCGGGGGCCAAGGGGGGTGGACGGGGTGATTTTTCAGGGCGAGTTCGTCGTCCTCCTCCTCCTCCGCCGCCTCCTCGTCGTCCTCCTCCTCCTCCTCTTCCTCCTCCTCCTCCTCCTCCTCGTCATCCTCCTCCTTTTCCTCCTTGTCCTCCTCCTCCTCCTCGTCCTTTTCCTCCTCGTCCTCCTCCTCCTTGTTCCCCGCTTCCTCCTCCTCGTTCTCCTCCTGTTCGTCCTCCTCTCCCCCCCCCCTCCGCAAGGACGAGGGCGGCCCTCTCGCTGTCTCGCCTCCTTTTCCTCCTCGTCGCCGCGCGCCGCACTCCGCAGCCAGTCAGGCAGGCAGTTATGTTCGGGGCCGCTGTGCGATACCATGCTTTGCGTTGCAAAGATTTGTGATGCAATTCTTCACTACGCCACGCCACGCCATGCTGTGACATACTGCGTTTTGCGGTGCTCTTCAACGCCATGCCATACCGTGCTCGACAATGCATCGCGTACCTTTTCGGGATATTTGCCCTGATCGACATCCGACTGTGTGAGTAGAGAGGGGATCTACGCCATGGCAAGGGATGGGAAGGAAGGGTAGGCTGTCATATATGACGCGAACGCACCTAGCTTGTCCCCGCCCCTTTTTCTCTTCCTCCTCCTCCTCATCCCCCACCTCCCAATCGCCGCGGCCGTCCGCAAGGACGACTGGCGGCCGTCCGCAAGGACGAGGGTGATCAAGCGCCTCTTCGAAAACCCCTTCCCTCAACTACTCCATAATTGCCCCGCCCCCCTTCCGCAATCCTCCCCCCGCGGCCGCGGGTGATCAAGCGAGCGAAGGAGGACGAATAGAAAATGAATTCCCCCAAAAGGGCAGAAGCAAACGCCGGGGGGCGGACGATTAAAAAAAACAGTTTCCGGCGGCTGAATTCGATTGGTCCACCCCACTCAATCATTTTGGGGGGTCCGGAAAGGGGGGGGCGATTCTTTTTAATCGTTTACTTGCGTTACTTCCACCAGAAAGCACACATCTGCAGATGCGTCAAGTGCCACACACCACTCATATCCTCCATTGGGCCGTGAAAGAGATTTATCCCCCTGCCGGCTGATTGTGCCTGTCAGCGTCAGTAAACTTATTCACTCAGGCTCGATCCGTGCTGTGCTGGCACTCATGCGGTCGCGCCCCTCTCCCCACCAACCAAGGGTGACGGTGCGGACCCGTGCCGTAGTGGAACTCATGATGTCATGCCCGCTCCCCGCCAACCTCACATAATACTTACTTCAAAGACAATTCGGGCTTTGACTAAACAAGAGACAGTGGGAATTAACAAACAGCACGCGTGCCAAGGATCATACAATCACGGATGTGGGACACTGGGATATGGAGGTGGCGCCAGCCTGTTTAGTTTCGGAGAAGCGCGCGTGCTGCGACACGCTGAGCTATGGCGTGAGCAACTTGTTGTCACTGTGAGCTAGCGAAGTCTCTACTACTCTTCGGGGCCATGGTGCTATCGGGCGCCTCTGGAGCTTATTCGGGGGTCTTGTGTGGGCCCGTCTGGGGCTTTTCTGTGCTGTTTTCGGGCAGTATTGAGCTGTCCTGGGGCCTTTTTGGCTCATCGTGGGGGTTCGGGTGGGACTGGGGGCGCGGCCGGAGCGGGGGGGGCACGGTCCGTCGGTCGGAATAAGCAGGCGGGGGGGACACGGGGCGGAAGGGGCGGGACAAGGAGATTGCCGGGGAGAGGGGAGGGGGAGCACGGGGGCACGGTCGGTCGGCGGGGGCCACGGGGCAAAAGGGAAGGGCACGGTCGGTCGGTCGGTCGGAATACTTAATCAGACGGGGGCCGCGGTGTGGAAGAGTGGCACGGGCGGTCGGTCGGTCGGACTAAGCAGACGGGGGCCACGGGGCGGGAGGGGGGGGGGGACGGTCGGTCGGTCGGTCGGAATGAGCAGCAAACGGGGGCCACGGGGCACAACAAGGGGGGGGGCACGGTCGGCCGGTCGGCCTGAATAACCAGTCGGGGACCACGGGGCGGAGGGGGGGGCACAGTCGGTCGGTCGGTCGGTCGGAATGAGCAGACGGAGGACACGGAACGGAGGGGCGCGGCGGGAAACAAGGGAACGGGAAAGCACTGTCGGGAAGGAGGGGGGAGCACGGTCGGCCGGTCGGTCAGAATCAGCAAACGGGGGCCATGGGGCGGAGGGGCGCGGGGGGGAGCAAGAAAACGGGGGGGCACGGTCGGTCGGTCGGTCGGTCGGTCGGAATAAAGCAGACGGGAGCTACGGGGCGGAGGGGGAGGACGCGGTCAGTCGGTCAATCGGGATAGGCAAACGGGGGCCACGGAACGGAGGGGCGCGGGGGGGAACAGGCGGACGGGAGGGCACGGTCGGGCAGGGGGGCACGGTCGGTCGGTCGGTCGGAAGCTGACGGGGACCACGGTGTGGAGGGGCGCGGGGGTGGGCGGGGGAACGGGAGGGCACGGTCGGGAACGGAGAGCACGGTCGGGAACGGGTGGGACGGTCGGAATAAGCAGACGGACGGGGGCCACGGGGCGGAAAGGAGGACACGGTCGGCCGGTCGCTCCGAATAACCTCCGCCAAGATCCCCTTCATTAAATCTATGATATCCTTCGATTCGGTGTCTTCCGAGAAGGTCACGAATGGGGTAGTGCACGCATCCATGATGACGCCATGCTTGTCCTTCTCCTGAGACTTGGCTCGAAAATGTGCCCCTGGTGCTGAGCCTCCTCCTCCTCCTCCTCCTCCTCCTCCTCCTCCTGAGGGTCCCGATGCCGTCTTTGACATCCTGAACTCCTCTTGCAATTCCTCCAGATTTGTCATCTTCATCCTCATCTCTCCCATCTCCTTGTTCACCTCCCTGGTATCCTCCTGTCCCTTCATCGCTATCACCCTCGCCTCGTCGACCTCCTTCTCCAAAATGCCGACTTGGTCCGCGGTGTGTTGCATGAGGGTCTGCTACATTGCCTCAGCCCATTTCGGCATGCCCTTCACCCTGGCGATCTGGAAATCGTCGTTGTCCAATGTACGGCCCTTGTGATTGTCTGGACTGCTCATGGGGTTATGCTTATCCTGCTTGCCATCATTCTCAGTTTCCGAGACAAATTGACAAGAGAAAACTGCGCTTCACAAGCCAACTTCTTAGGCCCAACCGTTTACTTGAGCCAAAATGGCTACGGGTGTCTCACCACACGGTGTGGTCACCGCACCGTCTGGGGCGCCCCCAAAAAAGCCCTGCACCGCCTGTCCTCGCCCTCCCCAAGGGCGGAGGCCCCCTCAGGGCCTCTCGCGGTGCAGCGGATCGCGCAGCGGGAAGCGCTCCGGCCACTGGTGCCACGACTGCGTCTGGGCGGGCGCGGGAGAGAGAGAGAAAGAGAGAGAGAGAGGTCCGTGGGGGAGGCGGACGTCCCGCCTGCCTCGGGCGTTGCTTAATGTCGGGGCGACCAATGAGGGCGAAGAGACGTGCATCGTTTGTGCTCTTTCAGGTCCGAAATGGTGCACCTTTATCCATCCCCCCATTCTTTGTACCACCTCCCCCAATACGCAACGCCCGACTGCCCTGGAATGGCTCTGAGATTGCTTGTTATTTGGTAAGCCCGTGACGTCAGTTACGGGGATTCGCCCCCCCCTCTCCCCCATCACTGTAGTGATAACGAATGTACGCGGGGGGGCCCCAGGTCCTCCAAACGCACGGCGTGGTGCTCACAGGCATGCTGTGGTGCTCGCAAGCATGCTGTGGCGCTCGTTGGCCCGACAGGCCCGACCCCCCCCTCACCCGTAGCTGACGGGGAAGGAATAAAAGCCAATGTCTTGGCGTTGCGCCTGCCAGAGTGCGGCTCACGCATGCTCGAAGAGTTCAGCATCTGCCCAGCTCTCGCACCGGCCGCGAATAGTTCTCTGGGGGTCGAGCAAAGGTAAGGCTTCCAGTCCAGAAGCTGGACGGCCTAGCATCCTTTCTTCGCCGTGGACAGGGGGGAGGGGAGCCACTGCCATGAGGGAGACGGGTCCCGAAGGAAAGGTGTCCTGGGATGAGGAGCGGGATGGGGGGCTGAGGTGGTTCAGCACTGGTTCCGTCCAACAGAAAGGGGGGAAGAAGTAGTCCCCTTGTCACCGCGCCTGGACGCGGGCGGAAAAACTACTCAATTTCGACCGCGGGGGGCGAGCAGGGATCGATTTTGAGCAGATTTGCCTCCGCCCCCCCCTCTTGACTGGCCTTCTCGGGGCCCAGCCAGCGCAGACCCCCGGGCCGCTTCCAACCTGGGATTGTCTCCTCGCTTTTCGGAGGCGTCATAAGAAGGGGGGGAGTCTAAGCGGGGGGTGCGCAAATCATGGCCCGAGGCATTGGCACGGACGAGGGGGGGGACCAGGGGGGGTATTGAAAAGATGAAAGGGGGGCCATGGAATCCGGGCAGATACCATGGCCCTGGCCATGATATCTCCCCGCCTCTGTAGACTCTAGCCATAATTTCCCTCTTGGACATCACCGAGCTTTCGGGCCCGAGGGGCCCGAAAACAGGCCCAGGGAACGTCAACAAGATAAGGCTCGGGACGAGACAAGTTTTTGGCCCTGCTCAAACATCCGATGTCTCGATGTTTTCGACACGGCGTCCTGGGAGCTCTGGACAGCTTCCTGGGGACCGGCTATTCGTCCTATGCTGTTGTTCAAGACCCGCCGAGCCAGCGAGAGCCCCTCAGACTCGGAAAACCACAAACGACCTCCATCCTTGTTGTTTCATTACGTTCGAGGTCGTGGTGCCACGGGGCCGCAGGACCCGTTTACCTCAGGGCCCCTGTTCCTCCCACGGCGAGGGAAGCAGGGCGCCGCCACCCCGGCAACCAGCGGCCCTCGTCATCCCCAGGGAGGGGGGGGAGGAGGTTCAATGCAAGGATTGTTCGTCGTTCTCGACCTCGGGACCCTCGCCAGGCCGCGGGACCGTGAACAGAACGACTCAGTAGCGAAACCAGCCCGGGGGAAGGGGTCGCGGCTTCCAGGGACCCCGCATCACTAAAAAACAATACATCGGATCTGTGGGAACCCTGGGTTGCGGTCCAGGATATTTTGCCGTGTGTTTTAGGGCGGAGGGAGAGCAGGAAGGAGGATGAGCACGAGGGGGAGAGGAGGGAGCAGGGAGGGAGGAGCACAGAGAGATGAAGACACAAGAGTGATGAGGTTCAAGGAGAGCAAAGAAATGGACTCCTCGTTCGTGTCCTCCTCCTCCCCCTCTGTTTTCCTTTCTTCATCATGCCCCTTCCTTGCACCTCTCTTCTTCTTACCTAGCTCCCTCCTCCTCATCATTGACTCTTCCTCCACGTGCTTACTCCTCCTTATTTTCATCGCCATCATCACCATCAACAGCAAAATCCCACGCTCGGAAGCATGCGGGGGAGGTTAAGGAAGAAGCTGAGCTGGACAACCCGAACACCTGCACACCCTCACACCACCCATACACCCACACACCCACGCACTGGTCGAGCGGATGGGCTACATGCCTTAGCAGGCTCGCGCGCACACAGTGGAACATACGAGGGACGACAAGAAACGACAGGTGAAAACCCTCAGCGCCGCAGCTCGGAGCGCGCACGCAACATCCGTCGGCAGGACGTGCACATAGGAACGCTGAATAAGACACGCAGGTCATTCTTGGCCACCAGAGCCCCTGGGCGCACGAGGAACGCTAGCGTCTAGAGGAACAGCCATGACAGCACTCAAGGGGCAGCGGGCCCTTCCCGAACCCGACCCACATCTCAGTTCTAGCGGAACAGAAAACAGCAAAAACGTAGTCTGGCCGAGGCCCTCCAGGATGTCGTGGATCGGCGCTGGACCCCCTGGGGTGGCGCTGGAGGCGCCGCCACAGTATGGGTTGGCTGCGCGCGTGGCCCTGGGCTAGGAGTGGCCTCTGGCGCGCCGCCTTCAGGGGGCCAAAGGGCGGCCGAGTGCTCGAGCACACGGACCCGGAGCTGCGGGGAACATCTGGGAGCCCGCGCCCGGAGGCTTCTCTGGCGGATGGCCACGCTGGCGCGTGGACGAGGGAGTTTTGAAAGGGTTGGGAAGCAGTGTCGCCTCAGGCGAAGCCCAGCTCCCGCTCTTCTTTACCGTAGTAGCGATAGTCCCAAAAGTAGGGGGCGAGCCATCTCAAGCAGTTATGGTATCGATGGCAAATGGTACACCTCGCGCTGAGGTGTAATCAGATCTGGGCGGCCGGCCGCTTCGAGCCAAGCAGCCGCGGATGCACGCTCGTTCCCACTCACATGCAACACCCAGCTCATTTTTGAATCGGTGGGGGAGGGAGACGAAGCATGAAACCGCCGCCTCTATACAGCAGGTACAGCAGCGACTAATTACAAAAGGGCAGCAAAAGGGCGGGGCCGTGAGGGAGGTGGACCCGCACGCAAGTTGCCTCGCCTGCACTATACTGTGCATACGAGTACTCCTCAGGCGGCTACAGAACGGGATGTCTGGCCAGCCCGATAGGGAACATGACGCTGTAAGCCATAAGTCAGGTTTGAAAGATCGTGTGCCTCCCATGACCTGCAGGACCATTTCTCTGTCGATGCCCCCGTTGGTGTGACCGTCCGCGGTCATATCGCGGGTGTCACACCACAGAATACTGTGCACGATTCCTCGCTCCATCATCGGTCGAATGCAACTGCTGTGTCCTGAAAGGGTACGTTCAGCCGGCTTGTTCAAATAGTTGCTTGACAAAGACTTAAAAACACAGTCCGCATCTATGGTCAAAGTGACCTTGATGCTCAAGCCACCCAACTCAAGTACGTCTTTCAACTGAGTGGGATTTAGCGGCCCTGCGTGGAATTCGTGCAGAGTCCCGATGGTGCGATAGCAGTCCTCCAAGTTGCGAGCTGCTGCTGCTGCTGCTCTCTGCTGAATAGCTCGAGCGGACCTGCAAGTGGCGAGGCTCGCAGTGCGCATCGATCAAGTGAACGACGGGCTGACCGGATGGCGTGTTTCCACGCAGTAGCAAGTTCCCCCCGCGAGTGCCATAGCCTTTGACTTCGTCGTCGGCATATCCACTCCGGCGTCGGTAACCTGAGTCGCTGCGCAGGTCAACCTCGCCCGTGGGCGCCATCGCCTGGTAGACTACCGTCTTAGGGCGGGCCTGCAGTTCCCTGGTAATCGCGCTCAGTCGTCGCACTTGCATGTCGGTCGGTTCTTGGACACGCTGTAGAGAGACACTATACACCATCAGCCACACCTGATTGATTTATGTATACGCCAATGCGCCTCTAAGGCTGACGAACATGTCTGCAACCATCTTGGATGCTTGGGCATCAGCGTCGGCGCCCGCATGTTCAGGATGTTGTATAGGAAGGAGATGTTTGATGTATTCGTCTTGGTCCAAAGCAACGCTGCCCTCCTCATCCATGGCACATCTCACAGCGCACTTGGAGCATGTGTGCTCGTGGAGCTTACGCGTGCCAAACGTGTCTTCTACGCATTTGACGCGCGTGTCAAATGTGTCCTCTGGACTGGCCATGTCATCAACATGTTTGGCCGTGCAGGTTGCTGCTCGTCTCGAGCTCCTCGTCGTAGGACGTGGGTCCGAGACCAATGCCTCTTGCGGTCCTTCTGAGCTTTAGTGAGAAAGCTCGAGGTGCGTCCTTGGTGCCAGTGTCTGGCTTACGGCACTTCAAGCTGTGGTTCGACTCGCCGCGGCGTTCGAATCCTGGGGGAGTTCGAAGCACCGAGGCCGATCCAGGCGGCAGGAGTGAAGCACGCCGCGCGTTCCTTTTCACCAATTGCCCCAGCAAGTTCCTGGTGGGCCAGCCCTTCCAGGAAGGCCATGTTGATGCCGAAGGAAGCAATGACCCATTGCTTCTTGCGCGCTGCCGCGCTCGCTAATAGTCCCGGGCTTGACCGCCGTGCTGTTCCCGAAAAGGCTTCCACGCCGAAGGCTTCAAGGTCCACAAAGCCTCGAAGCACCATGCGTGATTTGTTGGCACGTTCCATTTCGCCCTTCTCGTTCCTGACAAACTTCCATGTGTGTAAGTACCTCGAAGTCATGATGTTTGACGCTCTAGATATACCTGGCAGCTTGAAGCACTTGTTGTCAAACCATGTCTTGAGTTCAGTGTGTAGGGCACTCGCTAGTTTCTCAGCTTTGCAGCGGCGGCAACATATACTCGCATGGTGGTCACACGGAAAGCAGAGTGATACATATTGTCCATGTTCGTCTGGGTCCAGACGGTAACTGCAATCTTCGACCGTGGTGCACAGTGGGACATGATACGTCTCCTCGATGTCGGAGTCGTGTGGGTGCCCCCACTTAGGCAGGTATCCCCGCTGCTCTTCAGCTACAGTGATAGGCACACTGCTGTCTGGAATCATG